ATCTGAGAAAGCTCCTTCAAAGATTAAGAAAGTTCCAGCTGAAACTGAACCCCAATAAATGTACCTTCGGGGTAATATCTGAAAAGTCGTTAGGCTTCGTGGTCAGCAGGAGAGGTATCGAAGTTGATCCAGATAAATTCAACACCATCTAGATTTTACCTCCTCCATAAATACAAAAAAAGGTTTGAGGTTTTCTGGGAAGGTTAAATTACATACAACGATTCATATCTCAATTGATCGAAAAGTATGACCCAATTTTCCGCCTTCTTTGAAAAAATAACTCTGGAACATGGGATAAGGATTACCAGACTGTATTCGAGAAAATAAAAGAATACTTATCTCGCACTCCTATCATAATGTCCCTCATTCAGGGTAAACCTCTATTCTTGCATTTTTCTATATTCGAGAACTCAATGGGATGTGTTCTGGGTCAGCATGATGAATCTGGGAGAAAAGAAAGGGCCATTTACTACTTGAACAAGAAGTTCACTAATTACGAGGTCAAATATCCTACCATTGAAAATCCCGATGGAAGATGTTGTTATCCAAATTTGACATCGAGTACGTGAGCCAAAAAGCTATAAGGGGAAGTGCCATATCGGATTTCTTACAAGCAGAACTGTTGAAAATTACGAGCCACTAGACTTTGACTTCCCAGACGAAGATTAGCATGGCCTTTGTGCAAGGATGACACACACAAATCGAGAAATGGTCCAAATTTTTTTGCCACTAGATTGGAGAGTATTCTTTTCCCCTCTTTTTTTTAAATTCGATATACTTTTGGGACAAAATGGATTAAGTGAGGGGGGAAAGATAAGCATGTTGTCAAATTTTTCCTTAACTTGTTTGATTGTTTGAAATTGAGTTATTTTGATATTGATGTTTTGGGATCATTGGTTGCTAGTCTTGAAATTCACTTTATACTCTTGTTCCTTTTGGATTGTGATCATGTTTTGATAGAATTTAATTTGCATGATTGGTGATTGGTATAGCTGGTGAATTTTTGTTAAGTATTGATATTTCATGCTTTTGTCGATAGAGATGAACTTGACTCAGTGCATATAAACCTTTCTTGTGAGATTTGAGCCTAACGAGCATACATTTTCTTTCTTGCTCATTGTTTGACTTGTGTGTGCAGGGATAATTAGGATGTTCTAGAACTTGTAATCACAATGCATATCGAGACAATATGTTGAATGTAATGTTTTAATGTGATAGGGGAACCTAGGATAAACCCACTTTTCCCAAAAAGCTACCCATTTACATATCCACTAGTGAATCACATTTGAGACTATTTCTCTTTCTTTGTTTTATACCTCATAATTAAACTCGAAGCCTATCTTTTCCTCTCTTTTCACACCCTTATAGAGATTTGAGATCTTGTATCACTCTTGTTCCATGAAAAAAAATCGTTGTTTCAAAATAGATCGAAAAAAAGGAACAAATTGTTCACTATTTCGAACATCAAAAAAAAAGGAAAAGAAAAATTGATCGTTTCAATTGTCTATCGTATATTCTTTTTCCTTGTTTTATTATGGTTCATGTTAATTCGTGGATTGTTCTTAATTATTTAGATCTCTTGTTTTGATATTTTAAATCTTTCTTTTTGGCCTTTTCCCTACCCTAACCTAAGCCCCGTTACACCTTGTTTAAAGACCCCTTGATTATTGCATTATGTTCATTTTTCATAGTGGAGACTTGATTGGATTCCAAGCCTATGGTAATGTTTTGGTTAGTTTCGGTTTGAGCGATTTCATTCACCCCAAACACTTTGAGATGATATGTGTGAATCTTTGTGAGGTATTGAGTCATGTTTCATTGAAATTGACAATTAATTGGGATGTCTTGATTACTTTAAATTTTCTTAGTTGTGTCTTTGCTTGATTGTAGCTTGAATTCGTCAAATGTCATGGACTTAGTTCAATTGGAAGTTTGAGGAATAAATTGAAATTAAAGATGACAACTTACGATTTTGACATGTTAATTGAGGAATGCTTGAGGACAAACATTGAATAAGTGAGGGGGAATTTGATATGTGCTTAATTTAGTTAATATTTTGCTTAAAATTACTCCTTAATCATTGGTTTTTGTGGCTTATTTGTTCGCTTTAATTCATTTTCTGTACAGGACCTCAGATTCTGGAAATTGCACTAAAAGGAATGCATTCTGCAATTTTTATTATTATTTGGTCACGGTTGGAGACATGGCACGACTCAGGGCATGACACGTTTGAAGTGACAGTTTCTAGAAGATATTTGGAAGCCAATCTAGGCTTATGCACCATACCTGAGATAATTGAAAGGCATCGCCCAAACCAAGACTAGAAATAAAATTCTATACGTTGGATTTAAACATGGTAGAGAATCCAAGATCAAGATCAGAAATTCAAGATTCCATAATCAAGAGTCATCAGGACTGAAAACCAAGGATTGAGGATTTCCCTCCAAATTATTCTTGTTAGAGTCAATGTCAACTTCGTAGTGAAAAAATATTAAACTCGAGCCAATGCAGTTTTCAAGATTGGATTTGAACTTCACAACGAAGGACATCCAATTCAAAGCTTAACTTCACAGCGAAATATTAATCTCAAAGCAATTTAATTTACAAGATTGGATTTCAACTTCACAACGAAGAATATCCAATTCAAAGCTCAACTTCACAACGAATGAGCCACATATGATTTCGACTTCACAATGAAGGATATTGTACCCAAAGATTGACCCAACTTCATGACGAAGGAGTCATATGTAACACAACAATAAAATGCCAGTTTCATACAAGAGTCTTCAGGTCAAATTTCAGCTTCACGATGAAGTATATTAGGCTAGAAGACGATACAAGAGTGACTTTCCAATGCTTTGAGCTCGGTTTCAACTTCATGATGAAGGATATTGTGCTCAGGATTTTTTAGTTCAAAGCTCAACTTCACAACGAAGGAGTCACCTACGATTTCGACTTCACAACGAAGGATATCGTACCCAAATGATTGACCTAACTTCACAACGAAGGAGTCATCTGTAACACAACAATGAAAAACTAGTTTCATACCAAATTCTTCAGGTCAAATTTCAGCTTCACGACGAAGTATATTGGCCTAGAAGACGATACATGAGCGACTTTCCAATGCTTTGAGCCCAGTTTCAGCTTCACGAGGAAGGATATCTTGCTCAGGATTTTTCAGTTCAAAGCTCAACTTCACAATGAAGGAGCTACTCACGATTTTAGCTTCACGAAGAAGGATATCGTGCCCAATGGATCGACTCAATTCCATAGAAAATAAGTCATTTGCAACTAACGAATGAAAATTTGTGTCCTTTTATCTTTATCCTATTTTTCGTTACACGAAAAAGGAAAAAGATGAGCAACTGTAGACATCCATTTTCGTCCGGGGCTTATTTAGTATATATATTAATATTATATGTTATATTTTTATTTTAGTTTAAATAGATGTTAGTATTTCAATTAGGATTTCAGATATTATTTTAAATATTAATTTGTTTTATCTTTGTTTTAGGTATTTTTTGGTTTAAATAGTTTTAAGTATTTTAATTAGGATAAAAGATATTATTTTAGGAATTATCTTTAGTTTGTTTTTAGGAATTTGAAGTCTATGAATACCCTCTCAGGGTAAGCCTAGAAACACACACATCTGAGAATAAAATCTTTTTTTTTCTCTCTAGCTTTCTCTTTATTTTCGTATACTCCTTTATTTTATTTTATTTTTCGTTTTCAACAATTATGCTAAGTATGACTTTGGTCATGCTCAACTAATTTTCTTTTAAGCCGAAGGCTAAATCCCAAACTTGAGAATTAAGGATTTGCTTATTGAAGCATATTCGACTTTCCGAGAACACGTTTAGCAAAATTGCTTGCTAAGAAGAAACTAAGATCGAAACTAGTTATTGTTGAAACAACATAATCTGAGTCGGCAACGAAGAATTGTCCTTGTAAGCAAACATAAATTTTGAAGTAAAGATCTGTTTCAATGATCCGAGGAATTTGAGGCAAAGCTAAAGTCTGAGACTGCTTTCACTATAAGTATCTTTTTATCTCAATCTCTTTAATTATTTATTATTTTCTTTTATTTAATTCTTATCTTTTATTTTAAAAACAACTTTTATAAACCCCTTTTTATCTTTTCTACTATTATTATTTATTTATTATATTTTCCTTTTTATTTTATTTGTTTTATCTTATTTTCCCACTTATTTTTTATCTATTTGTTTTATTTTATTTTTATTTTAATATTTTTTATATTTATTATTTTCTTTTTTGAAATTTAATATTTTCTACATTTATTTTATTTATTTAATATTTTTTTATATAAATTTTTTAAATTAAATATTTCCTTCTTTGATTTATTTTTAAATTTAATTTTTATTTAATATTTCTTTTATTTTATAATCAAATGTTTTAGTTATTTAGAGGTAATCAATCAATTAACAGTAAGTAATTGAATTGAATTTTTACTTTTAATTCAACTTGCAATTTTTTTAATTAAGACAACTGAAAATTAAATTAGTACTGAAAGGACAGTACAAGGGTGCTAATTCTTCCTTAACTGTAACTGACTCCCGAATCCGACATATTTCTGGTAAAACGCAGATCAGGTAATAAGGTGTCCGATTAACCTATTTTTTATGTTTTAAAAAAAATAAATGATCGATGGCGACTCTAACCCATTTATTTAAGACAAAGTCCAATTTCGAATCCACCCGAAAGACGTCCGCACATAGACATAAAAGGTCGAAAGAAAAATTAGCTTTTATTTTTGTTTAATTCTTCCGAAGCTTGTTCTACCAGTAAACCATTATTTAATTAATGAATAAAAACAAGCAGACGATCATTGGATTCTCACGCTCATATCTACAAAAAAGTAAAGAGATAAAATCAAAAAGGATCTGTTGAACACTACTTTAGCCTCTCAACTTTCTCTATATATAATCTCCTCCATTTTTCTGTTTTTCCAAGCAAATTTTATCCAAACTCTCTAGCAAACAATGTATTCACCTTCTACATCATCTCAGTTCTTACAAGATCTTCTTGGAAACTTTCATTCCAGGAAATTACTGCTATATTACAAACAATTAAACCAATCATCATCAAACACGTCTCCTCCTCCTCCTTACCCTCAGAATACCAATTTAGACCAAAATGTTTTCATGATACTTTCGGTCCTCATTTGTGGTATAATTTCCTCATTGGGACTAAACTTGATAATCAGATGTGTGCTAAGGTGCTCGAACAGGGCGGCCTCGGAGTACATCGACAACCCATCAGCTGCAATAGTCGATAGAGGGATCAAGCCGAAAGCACTCAAAACTTTCCCCGTGGTGAATTACTCAGCGCAGATGAATATGCCGGGACTTGACTGGGAATGCGTGATATGCCTGTCGGAGTTTTTGCCCGGCGAGCACCTCCGGTTCCTACCAAAATGCAACCATGGATTCCATGCTCGTTGCATCGATAAGTGGCTTAAATCACACACATCGTGCCCCAAATGCAGGCATTGTCTGCTTGAAACATGCCAAAAAATTATGGGGTGTAATCAAAGTAGCTCGTTGGAGAGCATTGTGAATATTCAACCACTGGAACCTGAAGGTATGGTGCGTGATATTAGGGGGTAAAAGACGATGTGATTCTTTTTTTTTTTTTTTTCCATTTGGTAGAAAGCGCTCGATCCAAAGGTGTTATATTCCATGAGCGAAGCTCATTTTGGAGTTTTAGAGGCACCCGATTGAAAATGTTGACCTCCTTGCTTAAATCTAGCCTCAGCAAACTTTTCTATAATGTTCATAAAAAAATACAATTTTTTTAAAAGTATGGGTTATTATAATATAGTATATGTATATAATATTTCTTAACCATTGACAACACACATCTTGCAGACGCAACAACTTAAACCTAGAACCTCAAAGAAAAACAACACTCCATTTAAACACTAAATTTAGTTCAACAAGTTCATAAAAAAATCAACTCTAATGATAACTTTAGTCTTTTAACATATTTTGTTGTCCATCATGTTTTACTAATAAATCTAATTCAACATGTTAAAAAAAAATCAATGCAATCGACCGGACTCCCAAAAGGAATATGCGATGCCTTGAAAAAGCTTATTCAAAGGTATATTTAGAATAATCATGAGGATTCTGGTGGAATTGCTTTGGTTCAATGGGATACAGTTAAACTATCGGCGGATCAAGGAGGTCTCGGTATATAAGGATATTGGTATGTAAAATAAAGCTTTTTTTATAAAGATTGGAATGCAATTGGTATAAGATGCCAACAAGCTGTGGGTTCGTTTTCTAAAAAATAAATACCGGTGGACGGAGGTTGTTCTGAATAGCATTAATCGGCCAGTGTTGACGAAAACGGGTAAAGAAAACGAAAGAACACGAGAATTTTACGAGGTTCGGCAATGTGCTTACGTCCTCGGTGCCTAGGCGGCGCTAGAAGTTTTATTCAATGATATTTTAGGTCTAGGTTACATCTCTATTTATAATAGAAAACCCTGGTACATAATTACAAAATCAACCCTGTACCGTACCGCGGGGGCTGCGCCCCCACACCCCCAACCCACATAATTCGTAACCCCACAACGAGACTTTTTATGAGCCATACATAACAAATCTCCACCTTGGCGAATATCCTGCCCCTTGGAAACTTCAATGTGGGTTGGGTTACCTTGCTTCTTTAACAACTCGAAACATTCAACAAGTCCAAGCAATGCTTGAACTTGTCTGTCGTAACTGGCTTGGTGAACATATCAGCGGCATTCTCATCAGTATGTACCTTCTGAAACAAAACCTCTCCAGATGCAACCAACTCTCTGATCTTGTGGAACCTTACATCAATATGTTTAGTTCTAGCACGATACACCTGATTCTTAGCCAAGTGAATAGCACTTTGATTATCACAAAGCAACTGAACTCCACCTTGTTGAACACCCAACTCCTTCACTAAACCAGTAAGCCATAAAGCTTCTTTTGCAGCTTCAGCCGCTGCCATGTATTCAGCTTCAGTTGTAGATAGTGCCACGACAGATTGAACAGTAGACTTCCAGCAAATAGGCCCTCCACCAAGAGTAAACACATACCCTGTCGTAGATCTTCTATTATCCAAGTCACCTGCATAATCTGAATCCACATATCCTACAACCAAAGGATTATCCCGCTGACTCCCAAAAACAATTCCATGTCCCACAGTACCCTTTAAGTACCGAAAGATCCACTTGACTGCATCCCAATGTTGCTTACCAGGTTTAGACATGTACTTACAAACTTGACTAACAGCATGAGCTAAATCAGGACGAGTACATACCATCGCATACATCAAGCAGCCAACAGCATTAGAATACGGAACCTTTGCCATATTTTCAGCTTCCTTATCTGTCTTAGGGCACTGTTCTGATGAGAGCTTAAAGTGATTCGCCAATGGAGTGCTAACTGGTTTCGCGCTGCTCATCGCAAACCTTTCTAGCATTTTCTCAACATAACCCCGTTGAGATAGCCGCAGTTTCCTTGAGTCTCTGTCCCTGCAAATTTCCATTCCAAGAATTTCTTTGCAGCACCTAAATCTTTCATATCAAATTCCTGACTCAATAAAGTTTTCAAACCGATAACATCATCCATGTTCTTCGCAGCAATCAACATATCATCAACATACAGTAATAGAAAAATAAAAGAACCATCATCAAGGCTCTTAACATAGACACAACAATCATACTCACATCGGTTGTAGCCAATCTTGATCATATAGGAGTCAAACCGTTTATACCACTGTCTCGGAGACTGTTTCAACCCGTACAAAGATTTCTTCAATCTGCAAACTAAATGCTCGTTTCCAGGTTGAGTGAAACCTTCAGGTTGCCGCATGTAGATCTGCTCCTCTAAATCACCATGCAAAAAAGCAGTTTTAACATCCATCTGCTCTAAATGCAAATCCCAACTAGCCACCAATGCAAGTACTGCTCGGATTGAAGTGTGCCTGACCACAGGAGAAAAGATTTCATCATAATCAACTCCTTTCTGCTGTGAAAAACCCTTCGCTACCAAACGAGCCTTGAACTTCTCCCCCTCTTTTTCTGTTACTACTGGTTTCTTCTTATACACCCATTTGCAACCAATCGGCTTCTTACCCTCAGGAAGGGGAACTAACTCCCATGTGCGATTGTGATTCAAAGACTCCATCTCCTCAACCATGGCTGCCATCCACTTGTCGTTTTCCTGACTAGTAACGGCATCATGAAAAGTAAATGGATCATCACTGCTAACAGTAAGTGCAAAAGATACCAAGTCTTCAAAACCCAATCTGTTCGGAGGCTTTATATTCGTCCGTCTCACCCTGTCTCTGGCGAGACTATAATCCTGCAAATCATCCGTAGTGGAACCACCAGAAGTCGGTTGAGAAGTTTCTGGTTTCTCAACTGGAAACTGCTCGAAATCTACCACTGTCGTGTCTTGCTTCTGCTGCAACATAGACTGTTCATCAAAAACGACATCTCTACTAATCACAACTTTCTTCGCAACTGGATCCCAGAACTTGAATCCTTTGACACCTTTCTTGTAACCCAGAAAAATGCACTCCTTCGATTTTGCATCAAGTTTGGATCTCTCATCAGCAGGTACATGCACATAAGCAGGACAACCAAAAATCCGTAAGTTATCAAAACTAACATCATGACCAGTCCATACCTCTTCTGCAACTTTCCCAGCCAGCGATGCCCTTGGCGATCTGTTGATAAGGTAACACGCCATGTTAACAGCCTCAGCCCAGAAGTGTTTGGGAAGCCCGCATTCAACCGCAAATATCTGGCTCTTTCATTCAACGACCTGTTCATTCGTTCCGCAACACCATTCTGTTGTGGTGTCTTGCGCACTGTAAATGCCTCTGAATCCCATGCTCCTTACAGAATTGTAGGAACTGTGAATCTGTGTACTCCGTACCATTGTCAGACCGCAAACACTTGATTTTTCGTCCTGTTTGGTTTTCTACCTCAGCTTTCCACAGCTTGAACTTCTCAAAAACTTCAGATTTTGTTTCAAAAAATACACCCAAACTTTCCGTGAAAAATCATCAATAAAAGTAACATAGTACCTAGATCCACCCAAAGACGATGTCGTGGAAGGCCCCATACATCAGAATGCACATAATCAAGAATCCCTTGAGTTGTGTGCTTCGCAGTCTTGAAACGGACTTTAGTCTGTTTACCAAGAACACAATACTTGCAAAAATCGAGCTTACAGCTTTTGACACCATGCAACAAGTTTCTCTTGTGTAATTCTGCCATACCACGTTCACTAAGATGAGCAAGGCGCATATGCCACAATTTTGTCGTATCATCACAGGACTCAACAGAGTGAACTCCACCTGCAACGGTACTCCCTAACAATCTGTAGATATTCCCTGCAGTCATCTTGCCTTTCATCACAGTCAATGCTCCTTTAACAATCCGAATGGTTTCCCTATCCTCGTCAGCCTTAGGGATAAAACCATTCTTGTGCAAAGTGCCCAAGGAAATCAAATTCTTCTTCAAGTCTGGGATATGTCGAACACCACTCAACGTCCGAACGGAGCCATCGTGCATCTTAATTCTGACATCACCAATACCAACAATATTGCAACATCGATCATCACCCAAATAAACCGAACCAGAATTAACCGGCCTGTATGTCGAAAACCATTCCCTATTTGGCGTGATGTGATAAGAACATCCAGAATCAAGAATCCAAGCATCCGTCAATTGTGTCGTTGAAATAGAAAGCATATCACCCTCACTGCAATCAGAAGTATCATCCTCGACCACGTTCACAGACTTGGATGAGCCATCACGCTTCTCATCGGTCTGCTTTTTCAACTTCGGACAGTCTCGCTTCATATGTCCCGCCTCCTTGCACTTGTAACAGTGAATCGTCTTCTTATCCCTGGATTTGGATCTGGAATTCCGCTTCCCGGACCCTGCCTTCTCTGGCTTCCGTCCACGATCTCGATTACCCTTGACATATAAGCTATCGGCTTGAGAGCTTTCCCCTGCATTCTGCTTCCGCTGGTTGTGAGCCAACAAGGCTGCAGTAATCTCCTCAACGTTGATAGTCTCTTTCCCATATGTAAGAGTAGTCACCATGTGTTCGTAAGAGGAAGGCAACGAACACAACAGAATCATCGCTCTGTCTTCATCCTCAATTTTCACATCAAGCCGAGCCAGATCAGAAATGATTTGATTGAAGACATTCACGTGTTGCGCCAAATCGTGATCGTCCTGCATCTTCAGCCCATACAGCCGCTGCTTCAGATACAGTTTTGTCGTTAAGGATTTGGACATAAACTGACTTTCCAACTTCCTCCAAATTTCGTCTGGAGACGATAGATGCATGACGTGATACATGACCTCGTCCGCCAAGCATAATCGTATGATTCCTGCCGCTCGCTGCTGCAATTCTTCCCAATCTTCCTCATCCATCGACGCCGGCTTTGTAGGTCGCAAAGCCTTCAAGATCCCTTGCTGCGCCAATAGATCCTTCACCCTCGTTTGCCATAATCCGAAGTTACCCTGACCATCGAATTTCGCGACTTCGAATTTTGCTCCTGACATCTGATACCAATTGTTGACGAAAACGGGTAAAGAAAATGAAAGAACACGAGAATTTTACGAGGTTCGGCA